TCCAGCCTCTATCCAGGAGGTGGCACGGTGGGGAATCGAACCCCCAACCTGCAGTTCTGCAGCCAGAATCACAGAGCTCCAGAATGTCATTTCCTTGATCTCCTTATCCAGCTTTTGCAGACTCTTGTCCCATGGCTTCCTTTATGGAGTCCGTTCATCTCGTGTTTGGTTTTCCTCTTTTCCCGCTGCCGCCCCCGTTTTCCCAGCATTATTTTGTTTTCCAGAGGGGTCCTGTCTTGGTAGTTGGTCTAAAGGGGAGGCTAGTTTTTTAATCAGCAGGACACATCTGTTGGGGGGGGGGAGAGAGAAGGCAAAATCTATTTTTGAAAGCTCTAGTTGACACTGGGTGTGACGGTCTCTTATCAGCATCCTGATGCTATATGGGAAGAGTTCAACCAGATGAGCAACTGAAAGTTGGAGCAGGCATTTTGTAAATCTAATGACTCCTAATTGCCCGTTCAACCGTTGTAGAGCAGGTCTTTAGTGAAATTATGTCTGCGTGTTGTGCCATTGTTAGAGCAACCCTAAAAGGGCTTTCAAGGTACAGTACAGTGGTGCCTCGCTTGACGACATTAATTCATTCCAGCGAAATCGCTGTAGAGCGAAGACGTCATAAAGAGAAATAAAAAAGCCCATTGACACGCATTGAAAACCGTTCAATGCGTTCGAATGGGCAATTGCGATTGCAAAAACATTGTCGTGAAGCGGATTCATCGTTATATGGAGTAATCGCAGGGCACGACTGTAAGTGGGACATTAAAGGAGTGTTTTTATCTGTCCCTGTCCCCCAGTGAGTTTCCATGGCTCAACAAGGATTTGAATCCTGTTCGCCAGAGCCCTAGTTGGTCCCTCGATCCAGTCCACCACATGGGAAATCTCATTTTGTAAACCTAATGACTCTTAGTTGCCCACTCAAGGCCAAATAGCTCTCAGGTGTTTTGCTGGACAGGGGGGATGACATATACACACTATATATCTCTATATTCCTAGGAAAATTCAGATATTTCTCTGTTTACAGAGTGTAGGGTTGGAAGCCGAATTCTGTCTTGCCGAAACAAAATACTAGGTACATCTGTGTCTTCAGCTTCTCTTTCCTTGACTTTCGTTATTTCTTTTTCCTACCCCAGACAGGAGAACATGCAAACCACATGACTGGGAAAGTTTTGTGAGGCAAACCAGTAGTCGTGTAAATATTACTTAAGAAGCGTGGCACTTCCTCGTTCATGCAAAGCCAAATCTCGCCCGACTGCTTTTTCTTCACTAGGAGAATGGAGGAAAAACTTCCCACCGTTTTAAAGGCAGGGGCAGGATGGATTTGATTTAAATCCTGATTAAAAATTTAAAAATCAGATTTTTATTTTTTTACAATTTAAACTTTAAAAATGATTTCTTTAAAATGGTGGTTTTAAATTGTTAATTAAATCAATTGATTTTTTAAAAATCTTTTATTTTTATCCACTCTGGCCACGGGTAAGAAATCTAGTGCCCTCCAGATGTTATGACAAACTCTCATAATTCCTGCTCATTAACTAGTTACCAGGGACTGATGGGTTATGCCCATTAAGGCAGGGCAAGGCCACCCAACCTTGGGCCTCCAGATGTTCTTGGACTTCAGCTCCCAGAAATCCTGGCCAGCAGAGGTGGTGGTGAAGGCTTCTGGGAGTTGTAGTCCAAGAACATCTGGAGGCCCAAGGTTGGGGACCACTGATGTAGAACATCTGGAAGGCCCCATGTAGCCTACCTCAACTTTTTTTAGGTGTGTGCCTCCCTCCCCCAGGTTTCTTTGAACTGACTGGCACCTTGAGAAATGGGTTTTTTTTAATGAATTGTTATGCTCTGATGTTTTTAAATGTGCTTTTAATATTGATTTTGTTCCCCATTTTTAATATAATGCTTGTTGATAGATAGATAGATAGATAGATAGATAGATAGATAGATAGATAGATAGATAGATAGATAGATAGATAGATAGATAGATAGATACTGTTTCTTGCTTTTCAGCATTGTCTTTTAATTGTTGTAAGCTGCGTTTGGTCCTTTTGAGAGGAAAGGTGGGGTGAAAAAATATTTTAAATAAATAAATAATATGGAGGTCCCTCTCTGGGAAGCCCGTGACTTTTTGGGTTTTATCTTTTCTACTCTCACACAGTGCACAGCTGAAGGTTCAAACAGAACACTCACCCCACAGACTTTATAGCCGAAACTTTGTGTGTGATTGTGGGGGATTTTTGTGTGTGAGATGGACGGGGTGGGGAAGAGAATTTTTTTTTCTTGCAAGGGGCTTAAAGCTCCCTTCCTGTCATGTGGAAGAGCTGATCTGGAGATAATCAACAGACTTCTGATCCTTCCGCATTGCCTTCTGAAAGTGGTTAACGCTCAGCTCTTGGAGGAGAGAATTTTTCTGGACTCCCAGAATCTTTTGGCCGTGGAAAAAAAGAGTCACTTCTCCAAGATCTGGATACAGCCCCCTGATAAGGATTCTGCAAGAAAGGGCCTGGGGCTGAAGATCGGGGAAGGTTGCCCTGGAAATCTTGAGGGACCCGCTCAGCAGACGGGAACGGCAGCCGCTTAACGGTCTTTTCCCTCGGATGTGGGGCAGGCCCAGCTTTGCCACTGAACGGAGAGGCGGCCGGCTGGAAACCAAAGGCAATTTCTCTCTTAGACGCTCAGGCTGGCTTTTATGCATTTCAAAAAAAGGGCATGAGTTCTCCTGTGTCTTTGGAGAGGTATAAACCGGAAGAAGGAACTCACCCCGGTTGAAACTGCAACGATACTTGACAATTTTGCAGGGAGAAAGGAAAGCAGAGTTTTGAATTTCTGGTTAAACTTCCTTTAGCTGTGCCGCAGAAGTGCAGGGAATGACAGAGCAGAATCCGCTTCAAGTCCCTCAAATTAGCCCACCCCTGTTTCTCACCAACGGGCAGTTAGGTCCATCCATTGGAAGTCCTTGTGTCTGTTGAGGTCTGTTGTTGTACGCCGTCCTCTATGTACTAGTTTGATCTGTCCTGCTTTAAGGAACGAAGTATTTTTATTCTTCTGATAATGGCTCTGAGTGAGTTACTGAGACTGTAAGTGCCAGTTAATGAGAAAAGGAGTGAACTACGTGGGGAACTTGAAGCTTATTCTGTGGAACTGTGTATTTCTGTTGGGCAGCTCAAGGAATCTAACGAAAAACTCTGCAACAGATGGGGCATTTTGCTGATGCCATCCAAGCTTCAGTGCATGAGATTGATGTGAAAAAGGTACCACATTTAAAGAGTTTTTTTGTTTTCTAGGCTAGACCCTTAACTCGTGGTTCTTATTTCTGGACTTTCTTGCTTGCTCAGGGTTTCTAAAGCCATTTTCTAAATATTATTCTATGCGCCTCTTGCTAGGTTGATATTCTGCGCCCCTTCCTGCAGCATGATCTGCATTCCGTTTTCTGCTTTTATGGAACCTCATCTTATTACCTGTGCAGGGCTAACACGTTGCAGAAACACTCTGCAACAGATGGGGCATTTTGCTGATGCCATCCAAGCTTCAGTGCATGAGATTGATGTGAAAAAGGTACCACATTTTCATCCGGAGAGACCCTCATGCAAAAGAGGGTTTTGGTTTTCTAGGCTAGACCCTTAAGTCATGGTTCTTATTTCTGGACACGCTTGCTTGCTCAGGGTTTCTAAAGCCGTTTTCTAAATATTATTCAACAGATGGGGCATTTTGCTGATGCCATCCAAGCTTCAGTGCATGAGATTGATGTGAAAAAGGTACCACATTTTCATCCGGAGAGACCCTCATGCAAAAGAGGGTTTTGGTTTTCTAGGCTAGACCCTTAAGTCATGGTTCTTATTTCTGGACACGCTTGCTTGCTCAGGGTTTCTAAAGCCGTTTTCTAAATATTATTCTATGCGCCTCGTGCTAGGTTGATATTCTGCGCTCCTTCCCGCAGCGTGATCTGCATTCCGTTTTCTGCTTTTATGGAACCTCATCTTATTACCTGTGCAGGGCTAACACGTTGCAGGTATAGGAGCTGTGCATACTAGCCATATGTAGATATGGGGGAGGCGGCGGCGGGAATGGGCCATACTAGATTATGTGACCCCCCCCCCAAAAAAAAACCAGCAGTTTTTTCTTGGAAAGTGAGACCCTTTGAAACACCAACTTGCAGAATCCTGTTTGCAACTTTATGCTGGTAGGGCTGAATGGGTGTCAATGTGATCACCAGAATGGTTGCTGGCCAAGGCATTCAAGGGCTGGTTTTCTAGCCAGGTACCAAGTAAGGCAACCACTGTGAGATACAAAACGCCAGCACTGATTTAATTTGGCATGAACTTTTATGGACTTTGGGTCACTTTTTTTGGATGCCACTCACAATGTGGTTGCTTTCAAAGGGGTCACAAGGTTTTGTGCTGTTTGTGCGAGATCCTAAATTGAAAACCACTCTAGACGTAGATTGGAAAAATGAAGGTTTTGCATCATGCATCTGATTAAGGAATCTTGAGGTTGTAATGGGTTCATGATTCGGATTTCTCGTCATCGGCGCTCATGGAGTTGGTTGCTCATGTGGAGTAAAAGTGCTTTGAGAAGCATTACAAGTTTTTTTATGGGATGTGGCGTTGCTGCAGGTTAAACCGCAGACGCCTCTGTGCTGCAAGGTCGGAAGACCAGCTGTCGTAAGATCGAATCCACGCAACGGAGGGAACTCCCGTCGCTTGTCCCAGCTCTTGCCAACCTAGCCATTCAAAAGCATGTAAAAATGGGGGTAGATAAATAGGTACCACCACAGTGGGAAGGTCACGGCGTTCCGTGTCTAGTCGCGCTGGCCACGTGTCCACGGAAACTGTCTTTGGACAAACGCTGGCTCTGTGACTTGGAGACGGGGATGAGCATCACGTCCTAGAGTCGGACACGACTGGATTAAATGTCAAGGGAAACCTTTACCTTTACAAGGTTTTTGCTTATCTGTACAGGAGATGAAGAGCTGCCTGCTTGCACAAACTTGGTAACCAAACACAACCATGGAAATAAATCTTGTCCATCCTTCTCCAGGTAAAGACCCGTCTCCAAGATGTGGCCGTCTGTAGCAGCGCTGTGCCTCGTGGTGGCCCTCACAAGTGCCGTTACGGTCCCTCCCTCCTTCCCTCCTCTGTCTCATGACATGGTGAACTACATCAACAAACTCAACACCACCTGGCAGGTGAGTCAGCAGGTCTTGGCTGTGCCGTGGCATGGGAGGAAGGGAGAGCGCATGTGAAGGAGATGCTCGTGGATTTGTTCCCTGAGGGGCTGAAGGAACACGTGGTTTCCCCGGGAACATACCGATCATTTTCTCATTTGGGAAGCTAAGCAGGGTTGGAGACCTCTTGGGAATGCCGCGAATCTCTTGGTCGTGTTGGGAGGTGGGGGGGGGGGGGAGACACCTGAAACCCTGGACAGCTGGGGCTGTCTAGCCAAGACTGACTTAGTGGTTCCCAACCTTGGGTCCCCAGTTGTTCGTCGACTACAATTCCCAGGAATCCTGGCCAGCCCAACTGGTGATGAAATTTTCTGGGAGTTTTAGTCCAAGAACATCTGGGGACTCAAGGTTGGGAAGCCCTGAATAGATAGTCTCATGCAGTATGAGGCCAGTTCAAACATTGGTAAGCCTGGATGGAGTTGGTGATCTCCAGCATGGACAGGCCAGCTAAATTCCAATAAATTAGGGAAAGAAGCCCTAAATGTGGGTGCCCCACGAACAGCTAACAAGACTTAGACCAGAGAGAAGATGCTCTAGTTTAGTGCTGGCTCAACCTTGGGCTTCCACATGTTCTTGGACTACAACTCCCAGAAGCCTTCACCACCACCAGGATTTCTGGAAGTTGAAGTCCAAGAACATCTGGAGGCCCCACGGTTTGGGACCACTGAACTAGAGCCTCTTCTCTCTGATCTAAGTCTTGTTAGCTGTTCATGGAGCACCCACCTTTAGAGCTTCCTTCCCTAATTTATTCACTTCCTGCCTTCAACGTGGGATCTGGGCTGTTGTTCAGTGGCTAGTTACACTGCAGTACTGCAGTCAAGACTCTGCTCACGACCCGGGATTCAATCCCAGGTTGCCGGCTCAAGGCTGACTCAGCCTTCTATCCTTCCAAAGTTGGTAAAATGAGTACCCAGCTCACTTGGGGGGGGGGTGCAATGTGTAACCTGCATAATTAACTTGTAAATTGCCCAAAGAGTGCTTGAAGCGCTATGGGGCGGTATAGAATAAGCGGCCCACTTTGCTTTTTGCTTTTGAGTGCTTAAGGCCATGTGCCTGCATAGAGGCTGATGTGGGAGGATTAGCCATCTGGCCTTGAAGATAAGCTTCAGTTTGGCTTTGGAGGAAAAGGTTCTATCTAGAAGGGTGGATGTTTACAAGAGAGGTTGGAATGTGAAAAATACCAACTGCTGCAAGATGTTCTGTTGTAGTTGACTTCAAAGTCTGCAGATTTTAGGAAATTTCCTTTTTGTGGACTCTGCCAGAATCTGTCGGTAAGTCATGGGCACAGGTCCTACGTGCTGAGGAATTCTGGGAGTGATCGTCTAAGGAAGTTACTTTTCGAAGATGTGTCTTTTTGCATTGGGTAGAGAGGCATGAAAAGCCAGCAGCAGGGGCTGAACACATAAGAAGAAAACCAGGATGTTTAAATGGCAAAGAAATGGCCTCTCTAGGATGTCTACTTGCTGTTCCAAGATTCTTGGCTCTTCTAGGCCAACATCTTCGTAGTCTGCAGAACAAGAGATGCCGCAGAGGAGTGTGGGATCTCCATTTTCACAAAACTCATGACCCCATGGACCAGAGCACGCCAGGCCCTCCTGTCTTCCCCTGCCTCCCGGAGTTGTGCCCCCCTTGTTTGTCTGTTGTGTATCCACAAATGTGATATTGAGGCCCCAACTGCAGGGTCCCTACAGATCCATGCATCACAACTGTAAGATGTTGCATATTGCACTTGGTGTATAGGATACCAAACTAGAAATTTAAAAAGGAAACTACCTTAAACCAAAATTGAAGAAAGATGTTTTTTTGTAGTTAAAGTGCAAACAAACAGTAGATTCTTTTTTTAAAAAAAATCTAAGACACCTATTTGTGACACGCTCCAAACAGTGCAAGCAAATAACACAATCCAGCTTGACTACGCCGGCTGACTGCACACAATGCATGATGAGATTTTTGGAATTAAAGGGTTTCCATATTGATTGATTGATTTGATTTATATCAAATCAATCAGTCAATATAATAATCAATAGATAGCATCTTAAAAAGCAGAGATCTCACCTTGCCGACAAAGGTCCGCATAGTCAAAGCTATGGTTTTTCCAGTAGCGATGTATGGAAGTGAGAGCTGGACCATAAAGAAGGCTGACCGCCGAAGAATTGATGCTTTTGAATTGTGGTGCTGGAGGAGACTCTTGAGAGTCCCTTGGGCTGGAAGGAGAACAAACCTATCTATTCTGAAGGAAATCAACCCTGAGTGCTCACTGGA